GCATATTTCTTAGCGATGGCCAGGAGCGCTGTGACCGACTCAGGCCTCTTGCGAAGGAGCTTGTCCCTTAGAGCATCGTGGAAGCGGAGGCCAGTGATGAAAGCCTCGATTGCCTCGCTGTCGGATATTGACGGGACCTTGATGCGCATCTCCGAGAAATGTCGGACGTACTCGCGCAGCGGCTCATCTTTCCGGTCTCGAATCCGCTGCAGATCATATTTGTTGCCGGGTTGCTCGCAAGTGGCAATGAAGTTGTCGATGAAAGCTTGCCTGAGTTCGTGCCAGGAATCGAAGTAGTTTGCCGGCAAGCTGACCAGCCACTGGTGACCTGCATGACCAACAGCTACGGGAAAGTAGTTAGACATGACGTGCTCGTCAGCCATGGCTGATCTGCACGCGGTTTCGTAGAGCATGACCCATAATTTGGGGTTCTCCTTGCCGTCATACTTCTAAAGTTTTTCGAGCTTGAAGTTCTTGGGCCATATGACTTGGCGAAGGTGCGGAGTAAACTGCTTCAAACCTGGCGGGCCGTGGGCAGTATCATATTCCATACGGCGATGGCTCTCGTGGGATGCACGATCGTTGGCTCTCTGGTTGATGCGATCACGCAGATCACGTCCTCCGAGGTAGTGGCGGAGATCGTTGTTGCCATCGCGGCGATCTCGGTTGCCATCCAGATTAGCCCTATGACCATGGTTGTCACGGCGGTTGTCGTCTTGGACGTTGCGGCGATTGTCCTGTCGACGGCGGTTGTCATCTCGACCGCCATCATGGCCGCCGTTTCCGCCTTGACGGTTATCTGATGGGTCGTTGTTGCGCGAGCCACGTAGGTTGGGTGGCTATGAGCGGCATGAGTACTGGCGGCTGTGGCTTGACTCGACTGAGACGGAGGGAGCCTGAGCTTGATTTACAATCTCTGCGGTCTAGGCCATAGCAGCCGTCAGATAGGCTTGTATTTCATCGCGAACTGCCTGAGTTTCTGGGGTATTGGGTAGCCATTGCATTGTCGCCATAGCGACGGCTACGTTGGCGCTTGGGGTCCTGAAGACCTATTTGTCCCCCACCCTGTCGAAAGCATTGTTGAGGTCGCGTGGCTGGACCCTTATGCGTCGTGCCTCCTCTTCTGCTTTAGCTTCGATTTGTCGGCGATTAAACCGGTCAATATTACGTGCTTCGCGTGCAATCCTTTCCCTGTTCTGTTTCACCAACTGCTGGTGGTTCATCATTACTGACAACATTGATCAAATCCCCTCGTCTTGGTGGGAAGGACGGGAATTGTGGGTACCCTGGGGTCTGGTCTGGGATATCCAGATCGTATTCGACACCTTCATCATCGTGACGCTGGAGCTCAGTGTGGTCGGAGGCATTGGATGCGATGCCAGACGAGGAGCTAGAGTCACCCTCTTGGACTGTGTGGATGGATCCTTCTTGATAATCCACAATCCGGATCATGTTGACGAAATTTCGCGGCTTCGACTGAGGTCGACACAGATCCAAGCGGCGTTGTATATTACAGGCATAGTTGGAGGCAGCGTTTCGCAGGCCGTAGGGCTGGGCCTGGTAGTTCTCCGTCAAGGCTTCGTACTCGGAGAGTTGGAGACCCGTCGCGGAGGCTGGCCGACGACGAGCGGAGCGCCCTTCAGGAGTAGATATGACCACGAGATCTGTACCAAGTCGTGTAGGATGACTGGCCTGAGCCGGTTGGGTAGATCTATTGTGGGAAGCGGTTACCTGCTCATTAGGTCCAATTTGAATTGAACTTACCAGAGCTATGGTTTCGGCGAGCTTTGTGCCGACCCGATCGATGGAGTCGAGCAGGTCGGTGTTGTCGATCTGCCTCCCTTTGTAGCGGGGAAGCGAACGACGGACTGTCGGCATGGCTGAAAGCGATGCGGGCGTGGTCGGAGCCAGATCCATCGTGGTCGGAGTCGTATCCACTGTGGTTGGAGCCGTAGCTGATGCAGGTGAAGCAGCGGTCGACGTAGATTGAATCCGCGCCTCCTCCGTGATCGTGGCGATGAAGTCGTCGGAGCCGGTGGTCCAGGTGATCTGACCGATGGTGAACGTGAGGCAGTTCGGCGTAGCCATGAAGTCGGGGATGATGACCATCTTGTTCGCTTGGAGAGCAGTACGCACACCCCTACTCTGGCGCGCCACTATCGATGAAATATGGTCGGCAGTCTACCCAGGGGTATGCCCAAGGTAGTAGATTGTCGGCAGACAGATGCGCAAGCCACAAACAAGATGGTGACGTAAGACACACGAGGTTTTATTCAGGTTCGGCCACCGAGAAGGTGTAATACCTACGTCCTGCGTCTGATTATATTGTTGTATGTCAATGAGAGATGTCTTTTAGAGGGGTCCCCTGCCCGCCTTATATAGTCCGAGGGGCAGGATTACAGATCTAGTACAATTATCATAGGTGACCAGATAAGGATTCCTATTCTAACCGGCCAAGATCTTGCTTGATCGCCAAATCTGTCTTAACTCCTTGCGCGGGACTATGAACAGGTTGGTCGGGCCGCGCGTCGTCTTTTGGTGGACCGTACCCACTGATCCGGGCTGGCCCAAGCTTAGCCGTAAGGGTATAGGGGTTAATACCCCCACACTGCTCAGCTATGAGTTATGTGGTGCGTCGTGTGTAGAATTGATCCATCCCTTTAGTGGGGTGCCCTGCCCTCCCTTTTATAGATCAAGGGGGAGCAGGGATTACAGACGGGAGAAAGAAGAAAAAACAGAGACAAAGAAGGACCTTCGAAGGTGCCCGGTCTTCCTTTTCCTTTGAGCCTATCCTACTGACACGACAGATGGTGCCAGAGATAGCACATTCGGTGATCCTAATAGGACCGTGCTCTAGCTTTGTTCAGCAAGTAGTCATGTCCCATCCCGCTCCGGCAGGTGGCGCGGCACGCCAGGGTGACGAGCCGTGACCCTACGGGGAGAGATGGAGCAGAGGCCCCACGTTCATTACTATAGATGACATGAGTTTCCTCTTAGATCGTAGTGGTTGTCATATGTTTCCGTCAGGATTCGTGTCCGAGGGCAAATGCTGGCGCCCATAACACTATAGGATAAATATCAGTGCTCGCAACACTGTTTGGGCTCTAACATGCCTAGAAGGGCTTAAAGCGCCTGTATGGTCATATCCTGATGGTACTTCCCTATAGGCATGCAGGATATGGTCCTCGATATTGCTGTTGACTTGTGTGCCCCGCATTATCTGCATGCGTAGTTATGAAGGAGTAGAGCATAGACGTCGGACGAGGCGGAGCCAGCACTCAGTCGTCGGGCAAGGCAGAGTCTGCCCCCAGACATCGGGCGAGGCGGAGTCTATCCTCAGACGTCGGGCGAGGCGGAGTCTGTCCCTAGACGTTGAGCGAGGCGGAGCCCAGCCCTCGGACGTCGGGCGAGAAGGAACCTGCACTCAGACGTCGGGTGAGGCAGAGCCTGCCCTCAGTCGTCGGAAGAGGCAGAGTCTGCCCCTAGACGTCGGGAGAGGCGGAGTCTATCCTCAGACATCGGGCGACGCGGAGTCTGCCCCTGGACGTCGGGTGAGGCAGAGCCCAGCCCGTGGACGTCGGGCGAAGCAGAGCTAGCCCTCGGACGTTGGGTGAGGCGGAGCTAGCCCTCGGATGTCGGGTGAGGCGGAGCCTATCCCCAGACATCGGGCGAGGCAAAGTCTGCCCCCAGACGTCGGGCGAGGCGGAGTCCAACCCTCGGGGGTCGGGCGAGGCAGAGCCAACCCTCAGGAGTCGGACGAGACAGAGTCAATCTTCAGTCGCTTGGGCAAGAAGTGTAGTTGCGTTCTTGTCTGTTCGAAAGCATCAATGTTTGATGGTTATTAACTCCTCCTCTTCAGGTATCCCGGTATTCGGTCCCCGACACTACCTTTCCTCGTTTGCAAGATTTTGCGTTGTCCCATGAAAAAGGTGATGGATTCTTGTGAATTGAACTTGTAATGGAAGTTTATATAATGCTCTTGTGCTTGTGGTCATATTTGAATTATATATATATATATATGTGTGTTCTGGATCGAATTTGAATTGTAAATTTGATTTTTTTTGACGAAAAAATATACTGTAGAGGCTGTTCTAGACTGAACTGTCCCTACAAACAGCTATTATAGGGGCGGCTGGTACCCTACAAATTGATTTTATAGAGACGGCTGGTGTTACCGGACGCCCCTACAAATCAATTTGTACGGACGACTGATAACACCAGCAGCCTCTACAAATCGATGTGTAAGGGTAGTCTAGGAACTGCCCCTACAAATATATGATTTGTAGAGACGGTACGGTAGGGATGACTGACCGAGCCGCCTCTATAAAGCCTCACCAGCTGCCCCTAGAAATCATTCCTATAGTAGTGGTTGACACCAAACTTACAGGCCACACACTTTTTTATTTATTATCATAGAGCTTGAAAGGAACAGTTTTAGTAAGCCGATGTTTACAACACTCGGCGATTTTAAAGTGGTAGATCCATGGCAAGATGCAAAGGAATAGATTCTCTTTCGGACTCACAAAAGATGCAAAGCGACAATCAAATCCCCCTTCAGATATAGTATTCCCCTTCAAACCTTAGCTTACTTCTATAGTTATATATTCCACCAACACTACTGGGAACAAAACTATAGTTTAACAACCAAGGGACTCGTCTTACAAACGGAGCACACAAGGGAGCTTCAGTCCATCATTGAAATGCAATCCAAAAGGCAAACAACAAAGCAAACCTAAGCACGTAAATAATGCATGCAATTCTAGAAAAAAAAGTGTCATAGCTTAGCGCCACCTGCATTTTACTCATCGTCAGTGGCCCTGTTCGCTTCTCTTATAATCACTACCGGATACAGGAGCTTTGCCGAGTGCCAAGGACACTCCGCAAACGACACTCGGCGTAGGTTTTAACGGCAAAGAGCTGTTTACCGAGTGTCAATCGTCGAGCACTCGGCAAACATTTTTTGAGAAAAAAAAACAAGTCGCCAGCGGCCACCACCACCACTACAGCCGCCGACCACCACCGCCACCACCACCACAGCCGCCGGCCACCACCACCACGCCCCAACGCTGGCCACCACCACCACACCACGCCACCTGCCGCCAGATCCCGGCCGAATCCGGGAGAGGGAGGGCCGGATCCGACCGGGAGAAGAAGGGGAGGGGAAGGGCTGCCGCCGCGTTGCTCACCGTGGAGCCTGCCGCCAGAGGGCTCCTAACCGTCAGATCCACGGATCCACCGCCACCAGGATCCAACCCACCGGATCCGCCACTGGAGGACACCTCTCCGCCGGATCCACGCCGTGGTGGCTCCATCCCATCGGATCCGCGATGCCACCCGCCGGTGGAGCCATGGAGGGAGGGGAGGAGGGCGGATCTGCACTGCCACCCGCTGCTGCTGCTGCTCCGCATCGCCGGGAGGGGCCGAGCCGCCCTAGCGCCATAAGACGGGAGGGGCTGGGCTGCCTCGCGCGTGGCCGTGAAGCCACCAAGCGCCGCCACCGCCCTGCGCCATGAGCCGAACCGCGCTACTCCCCTGCTTCCCCCTTCTCCCTCCGCTCCGCATCTCTGCTCTGCTCTCTTCTCCCTTGCTGCTGCGCGCGGACAACAGGGAAGGACGGACGATGTCGTCCGCCGCGCCCTCGCCTTGCTCCATCGTGCCGCAGCAAGCACCGCTGCCGCCCTTGCTCTGCTTCCCCGCTCCGCTCTCGCCCTCGCACGCCAAGCGCTGCCGCCGTAGACTGCCCCGGCCGGCTTGCCGCGCCCAGGCCCGCCGCCTTGCCTTGCTATGCCGGCGCCATACACTTCCGCCTTGCCTTGCTTGCTTTCTCCTTGCCGTCTCCCTCTCTCTCTTTCTCCAGCTCTCTGTTCTCTCTTTTTCTCTCTCTAAAGTCGGTGCACGTGGATGGGAAAGAATGAGGAAGCCCCGAAGGCACCCAATGACTAGCTCCCAACCACGTCACAGCAACCAATAGGAGCCGGCCACTTCGCCCATGGACCCCGCACGTCATTGGCTCTGCTTACCTCTCCTCCTTTCTGTAGACTCGGAATTAAGTACATTTTGTCATTTGCTGAGTGTCTTAGATCTCGACACTCGGCAAAATTTTTTTTTTTTCATTTTGAATTAAGTAGATTTTATCCTTTGTCGAGTATCTTTAGATCTGGGCACTCGACAAAGTTTTTTTTATTTTTTTTTCTCCTTCTTTCTCGAAATTTTTTTTTATTTCCTTGCCGAGTGTAAAAAAGACACTCGGAGTGTTTTCTTTTTTACACTTGGCAAACCTCCTCTTTACCGAGTGTTTTTTTTTCCGAGGGTTTTTAGCGTAGCACTCGGCAAAGAACTTGTTCGCCGAGTGTCCGAGGGAAAACAATCGGCAAACATAAAAACACTCGACAAATTTAACGTTTTCGATAGTGAATCCGTCTTTTTCAGCTTGTTTTTTCAGCCGAAACAGTGTTTTTTCTCACAACAAATTAGCCAGAACAATGTTTTGACTTATTTTTTTAACAAAGCGAACGGTCAGTACGGTAGCGGCACAATCCCAACACAGAAGCTGAGAAAATTATGTGAACTCAAGCTGCATGCACTAACATGACTGGCCACACAAAAGTTGTGGCCTGGCAAGAACAGCAAAACGTGTGTGCAAAATGGGAACACATCAATGACCCCACCCCATGAATATGAACAAGGAACTAAAATGCAGTTAAAGATAAGGATACATCAATTTTCCATATATACTTATTACTACTGATGATAGATGAATACTGAAGGAATTACCAGAAGCAAGCGCATGGAGTAAAATGATGTAAGCGTGCAGACATTGATACCTATTGCGCGCGACATGGCGAGGATTCCACGCACGCGGTAACCGTTGATGAACAGCACCCGGCCGCCGGCCGCCTGGATCCGCGCCATCTCGTCTGGACGATTTGGCTGCACAATGATTTGTTTGAATTCCCAACAAAAAAAAAAAAGCAGTAGTTAGTTGATAATACGACAATTTGCAGAAAAGTCCCAAACTCAAAGGCAACAATGAAATCCAGGATTAAGAACGAAGTTACGAATGACAAGACACACAGTGATGTATGAGTCCTTTTTTTTTTACTCTAAAGGCTCTGTTGGCCTGGCTAGAAAAACGGTTGACGGGACTGAGGTTGATTTAGGCTCTGTTTAGATTGTAAAAAATTTTGCGTAATACTCATCACATCGAATCTTGCGGCATATGTATGGAGTACTAAATATGGACGAAAAAAAACTAATTACACAGTTAGATAAAAAATCACGAGACGAAACTTTTAAATCTAATTAGTCTATAATTAGCCACTAATTGTCAAATACAAACGAAAGTGCTACAGTAGCTAAAATCTAAAAAAATTGGATCTAAACGGGGCCTTAGCGCGTGTTCAGTTCTACCCCAAAATCCCAAAAAGTGCTACAGTACCTGTCACATCGAATATTTACGACCTATGCATAGAGTATTAAATGTAGACAAAAAAAAACTAATTACACAGTTTTGTGGAAAATTACGAGACGAACGTTTTGAGCCTATTTAGCTCATGTTTAAACACTAATTACCAAATAAAAACGAACGTACTACAGTAGCCTCAAATTCTAAACTTTCTTAAACTAAACACAACACGACGTTATTGTAAAAGCCAATAGGGCGCTGTTTTTTTTACCACCCATGGCTCGTCGGAGAGACAAAAAAAAAAAAAAAAAGACAGCAAGAAAAAGAGAGCTGAGCACTGGCTGACCTATCTAGGTCTTGTTTAGATTGCAAATTTTTGTAACTTGAATATTGTAGCATGTTTTATTTGTATTTGACGAACTTTGTCTGATCATGAACTAACTAAGCTCAAAAGATTCGTCTTATAATTTAATTAGTTATTTTTTTAATCTATATTTAATGCTTTATGCATACGTCTAAAAATTAATGTGATAGAAAGATAATAAAAAAATTTGGAATTTAAAAGTGATCTAAACAAGGCCCTACTTTTCATCTTCCCTCCCAAGGATTCTCTCTCCTGCCGGAGCAGCGGCAGCACGGCAGGTGGCGCCTCCGGCCACCTCCCCCTTCCTCTCCGGCGGGCCCCGCCGCACAGGCGACAGCGAGTGGAGACTGCTGCGGCTTTGAGCTCTGCCAGGGGCCCCACCTGCCGGCGACCACTGGGGTCTCCACACGTGCCCCCGCGTCCACCGACACGTGCCCTCGGCCCTCGGAATCCCCCGCCGTCGCCGCCACGTATCCCCCCGGCGACAGCGACGGCGCACGGCGCACCGCGACCGCCCCGAAAGTTGGCGAGTATCCTCGGGACTGCCACTGCATGGCCGCTTTGATATCCGTGCTGCACCAGCGCCCGCTGCCTCCTCCCTGTCGTGTCGAGATCCCAGCACCCCCAGCAGCACCCTAACTCCCTCCGTTCCCGCTGACGTCAGCACGGTACACGTCGGCGAGCACGGTACACCGCCGGCGGCCAACCACGAGTTGGCAGCGACGGAAACTTCTGGACGCGCGACACCTCACCGGGGGAACACCACACGCGGGCCCCCACGCGACACCCGGCGCACGGGTCAAGGCAGCTACATACCTTGTGGTCGAAGGAGAGCGGGACGGGCGGCGTCCCTTCGAGCCCGCGGCAGAGCACGGCGCGGGAGTCGCCGCAGTTGGCCACGATGAGGCGGCCGCGGACGAGGATGGCCACGACGGCGGTGGAGCCGACGATGCCGTTGGAGCGGACAGCGGCGCCGGTGACGGAGAGCGGGCAGCCGCAGGCCGGGTGCGTGACGCGGCCGCACGCGCACGCCAGCGGCGCCATCGCGTCCACGCGCCGGAAGCTGCGCATCAGCGCGGCCCGCCACGCGCGCTCCTCCTCCGCCTTCTCCGACCAGGGCTCGGCGGCGGGGGGACCTCCGAGGAATGCGGCGACGCTTCTCGCGGCGTCGCTCGACGCCTGCCGGCGACGCAGGAACGCCGCTCCCTCCCTCTCTAGCTCCTCCGCCACCAACTCGTGCATCCGCTCGCGGCACAGCGCGGACACCTGCGTACATACATGCATTGGTCGATCAGTTGCAGTCTAATGGAGTATATTAACAGGGATAATGGTGATAGGCAGGCAAATGCTAAAAGAGACAAGTAAGTAAACGAGGTAGAGACACGTGGATCCATGTCGAATTTGGAATGAGCTAGAATGTGGCAGCTGGACACTTGAGCAGTGACTGACTAGTGCTAGTAGCCAAAGCCAAATGTGGTGCAGGAGGGAAGCTAGCTGTTGCAGCTTTTGCTTCGGCAAGCATTCATGGCCTAGTACGACCTTTCTTGTTAGATGATGATGATGATGAATGTTTGTTACCGTTCATTAGATGACGATGCAGAATTAGGTAACAAAATTACTGCTGGCAAGTGATGATGGACATGAAATGTTCAGATTAACAAGGGATGGGATCGATCGATCGATGCAGTGATTAGCTGGAGATGAGTAAGATTTGTTTGCGGCCAGGCGAAGGCGGCAAGACGACACGTACATGGGGGCCGCCGTGGCCGTCGAAGACGGCGAAGAAGTGCATGGGCGAGCCGTCGGCGGCCCAGGTGCACAAGTTGGGGTGGAGCGAGACGGTGTCCTCCATGATCCGCATCCGCCCAGCCATGGTCACGGAGCCGAACGCCACGGGCCACACCTGCTGCGCGGCGACGGCGGCGACAGGCTCAGGCTCGGGCTCAGGCTGCAGCCCCGCCGGCGGGAGCGGCGCCAGCTCCATCTCCTGCACGTCCGGGTCGGCCTCCTCCTGCGACGAAGCTAGACTGGCTAGGTCATCGGATGAGATCGAGGTGGCGGTGGGGGGATCGGGTGGAGACTGGAGAGGCGGGGCCGGGGTGGTGAAGACGAAGGCGAAGGCGAAGGCGAGGTCTTATTCTTGTCGCGCGGACGCAAGCGCGACGTGGACTGCGGGCGACACGTGGCCGGGGAGGTAAAGGCGGCGCGTGGTCCCGCTGGGAGACGCCGCTGCTCAAACTGGCAGTGGCAGCGCCCCGAAAGCCGCGGGCGGCATGCGTTCCGTCATCTCATCTCTCCACAGCGGCGCCTGCGCCTGCGAGCGACGGCCTTTGGACGATGCGTGCCGCCGCTCTTTCTTCCGACGCTCGCCGGCCTGCCGATGCCGTGGCGGCTTCCATCATCTCCTTTGTACTTTGCCGTTGCAGCACCGCTCTACGCATCCACCCTCCTCTTCCGCGTGCGTAGTGCAGTGTAGTGTAGCACAAGCGTCTGACGGTAAACCGGCGCCAGAGTACGCCCGCCCACAGTTACCCCTCGCCACCAAATCCGGCTACAATGCTACACAAATACAAGGTACTTCGGCAATCGTAATTAAAAAAAATTGTCATTCTTAATAAAAAAATATAGCTGGATTTTCTGTGTTTTCTGAAGAGAAGACAACTAGATCAGCAGCAAATTAATCACACACACCTTAGGTAACCAAGGCCCCTCCGACAATAAGCGACAAACAAACCCTACGGCTACAATGCCATCCGACAATAAGCGACAAACAAACCCTACGGCTACTGACGCTATTTTAAAACTAAGTGGCAAAAAACCTTAACGGTTAATAATGATCCTCCGACAGCAAGCAACAAAAGCTTCTATGGCTACTAACGCCCCTTTAAAATCAAGCGGCAAAAAATCCTTATGGTTACTGGTGCCCCTCCGACAGCGAACGACAAAAACCTCTATGGCTACTAATGCTACTTTAAAATCAAAGCGGCAAAAAACCCTTTCTCTGACAACAAGCAATAAAAACCTCTACACCTACTAGCTCCACTTCAAAATCAAGCGGCAAAAAACCTTACGATTACCAATGGCCCTCAGACAGCAAGTGACAAAAACCTCTATGGCTACTAACACCACTTTGAAATCAAGCGGCAAAAAAACCCTTAGGGTTACTAATGCTCGTCCGACAACAAGCGACAAAACTCCTACCGCTACTAACGCCACTTTAAAATCAAGCAGAAAACCCCTTACAGATACTAATGCTCGTCCAACAACAAGCAACAAAACTCCTACGGCTACTACTAACGTCACTTTAAAATTAAATCAAGCCGCAAAAAGCCCTTACGGTTATTATTGCTTGTCCGAGAACAAGCGACAAAACTCCTACGGCTACTACTAACGCCACTTCAAATCAAGCGACAAAAAACCCTTACGGTTACTAATGCTCGTCCGATAGCAAGCGACAAAACTCCTATGACTACTAACGTCCCTTCAAAATCAAGTGACAAAAACCCTACCGCTACTAACGCTCTTCCCACAACAAGCAACAAAAACCAACACAACGAAAGATAAAAAAATTAACATGCCGCTAATGCCTTCCAACACACCATCCCCCAACCCTAACCTCTCTCTAGCCCATACACCACCACTAATATTTGACTTGAACAAAAAATGATAAATGGTCGTGTGTCCTCACTCCAACAATAAGCAACAAAAAAAACCATGTCAACACTAAACCTACAAATATCAAGAGAAAAAAATTACCACAATCGGACCTCTAATGCTCCCTCCATAAACAAGTGATGAAAACATGCCATTAATAGGTACCCGACAGTTAATGTCTGCTCTGACAACAAACGATAAAATACTTGTATAGCCAATTTGGTGGCAAGCGACCAAAAGACCCGCCAAAGCCCTATTCCTTCGTAATTTTTTTTTCAAAGAACATTTTCAACATGTTTTTGGAGAAACTTATTCACATAATTTTTAGTAAGACGTTTCAAGAAACTTTTTGACTAAATCTTTTATTTGTACAGCCATTATGAAATTTTCAATAGAGTCCTCAAAAAAGTTTTAGAAAATAATTTGTAGAAAACTTTTGAGGAAATGTTTCATGTGATTGGTTCAAGAGACTTCAAATATAGTATTTTCATAAAAATATTTTAAGTTTGTTAAAAACTTCTTCATATATGAAAGAGTATCAATTTTAATATTAACACAAAAAAGGCATGCACTAATTTCAATGACAAGTTGATAGGACATCAAGATTGCCCGATAGTTCACTTGCACACAGGAAACCACAAAAAGTCCTCGTGTCTCTAGCATTATATGACATGTTCTATTTTCATACACTTGAAACTTTGCGACTTTCCCATATTGTAAACATCAAAATGTTCCTTTATACTGAAAATATTTCAGATCAACTTTCTCAGTAATTTTATGTAGTTTTTTAATTAATGTTTTGTAAAAAATCATCATCAAGTTTTGATTCAGCACTGATCTATAAAATCTTTTAAAATTATTTGAAGAAGGCTTCCATCATCTGCTTTGTACTTTGCCATTGCACCGCTCTCCGCATCCATCCTCCTCCCGCTCTCCGCATCCATCCTCCTCTCTGTGTGTAGTGTAGGCTTGTAGCTAGCATCCAGGTGAATCGGCACGAGCACTCTCAGAGTTAGCCTTGCCACCAACTCTGACTACAATGCCACACAAATACAAGGCACATGGGCAAATCATCATAAAATTTGTAAAACTTGTCTTCCTTAATACAAAAATTGTAGCTTTTCTATGTTCTGTGAAGAGGAGACCACTAGATCAGGTGACAAATCACACACACCTTACGTTACCAAGGCCCCAATGACAATAAGCGACAAAAAAGTCCTACGACTACTAATGCCCTTCCGACAACAAATGACAAAAACCTCCACGACTACTAACATCTTTTAGAAATCAAATGACAGAAAAATCCTACAGCTACTAATGCTCTTCCGGCAGCAAACGACAAAAACCCCTATGACTAATAATGCATATTCGAAATCCATTGGTAAAAGAGCCCTACGGCTACTAATGCCCTTCTGATACCAAATGGCAAAAAGCCCTACGGCTCATAATGCCTCTTCGAAATCAAGTGGCAAAAAGCCCTACGGTTACTAAGGGCCGCTCTGACAACAAGCGATAAAAACCTCTACGACTACTACCACCTCTTCGAAATCAAGTAACAAAGAACCCTATGGCTACTAACGCTCTTTCGACAGCCAGCAACTAAAAAACTCTGACAACAAAAGATAAAAATTTAACTTTCTGCTAATGCCCACCAACACCCCTCGGTTACTAATGTCCCTCTGACAGCAAGCGACAAAACCCCTATGGCTACTAATTCCTCTTTGAAATCAAGCGACAACAAACCGTAAGGCTACTAGTGCTCTTCCGACAAAAAGCAACAAAAAACTCAGACAACAAAACATAAAAAAAAATAACATGCCGCTAATGCCTACCAACACACTATCACCCAACCCTAACCTCTCTCTAGCCCGTACACCACCGCTAACATTTCACTACATGGAAAATAGATGATAAAGGGTTGTGTGTCCTCACTCCAACAACAAGCAAAAAACCCCCTGCAAACACTAATCCTACAAATATCAAGAGAGAAAAAATTACTACAATCGGACCTCTAATGCTCCCTCCTTCAACAAGTGATGAATGAATAGATAACCGACTATTAATGTCCACTCCGATAACAAATGACAAAATACCCGTATGGCCAATCTGGTGGCAAGCGACCAAAAGACAAGCCAAGCCTGGCTCCTTCGTAACTTTTCTTTTTTAGGGAAAATTTTTCAACATGTTTTGGAAAAACTTATTCACATAATTTTTAGTAAGACATTTCAAGAATTTTTTTCACTAAATCTTTTATTTGTAAAACCATTGATGAAATTTTCAATAGAGTGCTCAAAAAAGTTTTAGAAAATAACATGTAGAAAACTTTTGGGGAAATGTTTCATGTGATTGTTCAAGAGACTTCAAATATATCATTTTCATAAAAATATTTTTAAGTTTGTTAAAAACTTCTTCATATATGAAAGAGCATCAATTTTAATAGTAACACAAAAAAGGCATCCACTAATTTCAATAACAAGTTGACAGAACATCAAGATTTCCTAATAGTTCGCTCACACACTGGAAAACCACAAAAAGTCCCCCGTGCCTCCAGCTTATATGACATGTTCTATTTTTCATACACTCTCGAAACTTCACAGCATTCCCATGATGCAAACATCAAAAAATGTTCCTTTATATAAATTGTTCATTTATAGAAAATGTTTTAGATCAACCTTCTCAGCAATTTTATGTAGTTTTTAAATTAATGTTTTGGAAAAAATCATCATAAAAAATTGTTTGAGCATTGATCTATAAAATCTTTTGAAATTATTTGAAGAAGGCTTCCATCATCTGCTTTGTACTTTGTTGTTGCAACGCTATCCGCATCCATCCTCCTCCTCCATGTGTAGTGTAGGAGTGTAATTACCGTCCATAGTAAATTGGTGCAAGTACTCCCGGAGTTACCCTCGCCACCAACTCTTGCTACAATGCCACACAAATACAAGGCGCTTGGGCAAATCATCATAAAATTTGTAAATGTCTTTCTTAATACAAAAATCATAGCTTTTATAGGTTCTGTGAAGAGAAGAACACTAGATCGTGACAAATCACACATACCTTACCCTACCAAGGCCCCTATGACAATAAGTAACAAAAAAGCCCCATAGCTACTAATGCCCTTCTGAAGACAAATGACAAAAACCTCCACCACAAATAACGCCTGTCGGGATTATGATACCCCAAGTATCTCAAGGCACCGATTAGTTAGCTGCTTGGGCAGCCTGCAATACGCCAGCCTGTATAAGCCCAAACGATCGAGGCCTAGCTAAGCTAAGCGGGCTAGGCCAAACACTAAGGCCGAGGTCCACCACGACCCCTTCCCTCTGCCTT